CATTCTGGTGTGTTCTCACAGTTTGCAGGCCGGTTAGTTTAGTGGTTGCTTATTGAGCATTCATTCTGACTTGTTTTCAGGGAGGTTATATGACATGGCCTCAAGCATTTTTTATCCCATGCATTCCAGTCAGGGCATTTTTCAGCTGGAACTCACCGGAACTCAGTTCCAGCACCTCTCAGGTGGACGTCATTGCCATTATAAGAGAAAGAAGGGAGGCGTTTAAAGCTAGTTCCAGCACCTCTTTTCCTAGAAAAATAGCACTGATTCCAGTGCATTTCTCGTCATTCTCTGTTATGTACTGAAGTTCTCACCCTGGGCCAGCAGGGGGATACTGTAGATAGTTTTTACTCAGGTCCACATATGCAAATAAGGGATCAAAAGTGACATTCAGTGATTGGATAGTTACAGAAAGTTGTTACAGTTACGTTGTACTGGAGCTCTATATAAGCAGGCTGGCTGAGCCCTTCAGTTCAGTTCAGTTCAGTTCTGGCCTTGTGAATAAACAAGAGCTGTTTGAAGAATCGCTGTGTCGTCTGATATGTTCACCCACAACTTAACATTCTCCTTATCACAAAACGTCTGATAGGAGGGAGCAAGTTTGTTGCACAAGAATGAACAAATCCTCTTCAGTTAAGCAACTTTATGTAACTTATGTCTACAGCTTTCAGAGAATGCTCGAGATGCACCTCTTTTAACACTTGTTATGTTTTTAGGACCCACTTCATTTTATGGCTGTAAGTTGTTTTAAGTTGTTTCTAATATTGTGTTTTAATGTTGCCACCCTCCATGGGACCTTAGGGCGAAGGGAGGATAACAGTAAAAATAGTAAAAATAATAGTGCTATGAAAGTTGGGTGCCTCGCCCTCTTTCTGCCGAGTGGTAACAACAATCCATGGGGTTCCAGGTACTCACCCAGGGTCTGTGTTCCTTTGGAGAACTGAGACATGGCATAGACTGTTGTAGCTTTAAGAAATATGGTCTATTTACCTATTTACGTCTTCAGTCTGCATGAAGAGAGTCCAGATCTTACAGCATGATCATTTCAAGAGGGGTTTGTCCCCCACAGCAGTACAGCCAGCCTTCAGCCATCCTGCCCAAGATGGATTCCAGTCTTTTTTCCTTTCTTCTTCTTCCCTTAAACACCTTGCTAAAAGACTCTCTTTTTCTGTTACCACACACCAAGTTACCCTGGCAACCTTCTAAACCCCCAGTCTCCGCTCACACCTCAGGGCAAGGGGAAAAACAGTTCTCTTGCATTTCCAATGCCTCTCAATGCCCCCATATTGTTTCTTAAAGGCCCTAGCATAGCCAGGTCGTGTGCTTTTTTTTTTTTTTTTTGCAAAGGCTAGCATGGGAATTCCTCTGCAGCTTGTATTTCTCCCTTCCCATCCCAAATAATCAAAATCCTACCATTTATCAATTTTTAGGGTTTTGACCCCCCTAAATCTATAACAATAGCAACAAGCTGAATTTGCTGGTATACGTATTTCACTCAAAAATACCAGTCAGCTTTATACAGAAATAGTATACAGAAATAATAGTATACAGAAAGTGGGATATTTTGTCATTATCTCGTCTTTGACCTTCATATTGTTGCACTTTCATCTTACATTTTCCATCTGCCTCCAGCCATTTGGGCAGATGCAGAGAGTACTGGCAGCACATTGTGTAAGATGTCAGAATGCTGCTTTCCAGCTGCCTCCAGACTGAGGAAATAGTGACAGGATAGCTAGAAGTGCCAAATGAGAGGGAGGAAGGTGAGCAGTGAATATCTAAAAGGCCTAGCTGCTAAGATTATCAGCTGTGCATCCAAATCCTAAATAATCAAGAGCCTAGGCCAAGGCAAGAATAAGAGAGATAGATAAACTAGTGGATATCTTTTCCTTCTCCTTACTATCAAGGCTATAGAAAGACTAAGAGCTATAGATAGACTGGTGGATGTATTTTCCATCTCCTTATTAGTGATTCCAGTTACCACTCATCTGAAACACTCAACACAGGCAACCTTCACAGCTAATATTCTCTCCCTACATTGCATGCCACTTCCAACAGTAAATAAGATGCACTGGGTTTATTTGTAATATATATACAGTGGTACCTCGAGTTACAGACGCTTCAGGTTACAGACTCTGCTAACCCAGAAGTAGCAACTCAGGTTAAGAACTTTGCTTCAAGATAAGAACAGAAATCGTGCTCCGGTGACATGGCAGCAGCAGGAGGCCCCATTAGCTAAAGTGGTGCTTCAGGTTAAGAGCAGTTTCAGGTTAAGAACGGACCTCCAGAATGAATTAAGTTCTTAACCCGTGGTACCACTGTACTGTACTTTCCTTCCAAGGAGCTCATAACAGAACACATGGTTATCTCTCAATTTATCATCCTAGCAACCCTGGGTGGCAGGCCAAGCTGAGAGATAGCAACTAGCTCAGGGGTCAGCAAACTTTTTCAGCAGGGGGCTGATCCACTGTTCCTCAGACCTTGTGGGGGGCTGGACTATATTGTGAAAAGAAAGAAAGAAGAAGAACAAATTCCTACGCCCCACAAATAACCCAGAGACGCATTTTAAATAAAAGCACACTTTCTACTCATGTAAAAACACCAGGCAGGCCCCACAAATAATGCAGAGATGCATTTTAAATAAAAGGACACATTATACTCATGTAAAAATCCGCAGGCCGGATTTAGGCGGCTATTGGGCCAGATCTGGCCCCCGGGCCTTAGTTTGCCTACCCATGGACTAGCTCATGGTCACCAAGGGGCTAACCTCCTCTCTTTCCAGGCATGACCCATGATTTAAAGGAGCATGTCTGAGCCCTTTTTTAAATCTTGCTCCAGAGTTTTCCCTGTGAAAACCTGCTCTTTAAAGCTCAATGAAAGCAGACATAAATCTGTGGAGAACCCGAATTGATGTTTGCTCCAATTTGGCTTTAAAGAGTGGGTTTTCACAGGGAAAGTTCAGAACAAAAAGAGAGAGGGGGGAAAAACACTGCTTGGGTATGGAACATTAAACTGAGGATCTCTGGCTAGAAAAAGCATGGCAAAAAGTAAGTGTAGATAAGGCCTAAAAGAGGTTCATGGTTCTGAACCTGACTTTTCCAAGTCCTACCCTGACACTGCACCATGCTGGCTCCATACTGTCTCAGACAACAGAATACGTGATGTATTCAAATAGGTTCAATGCATTGCCCTAAAGAGCTGTTGGGGACATGCGTGGCATTGTGGGTTAAACCACAAAGCCTACCACTTGCCGATCAGAAGGTCGACGGTTCAAATCCCTGCAATGGGGTGAGCTCCTGTTGCTTGATCCCTGCTCCTGCCAACCTAGCAGTTAAAAAGCACGTCAAAGTGCAAGTAGATAACTAGGTACCACTCCGGCGGGAAGGCAAACAGCGTTTCCATGCGCTGCTCTGGTTCTCCAGAAGCAGCTTAGTCATGCTGGCCACATGACCCGGAAGCTGTCTGTGGACAAACGCCAGCTCCCTTGGCCTATAGAGCAAGATGAGTGCACAACCCCAGAGTCATCCACGACTGGACCTAACGGTCAGGGGTCCCTTTTCCTTTAAAGAGCTGTTAATTAGGAACATTCTATGCAGCTGCAGTAAATGAATGTCATTAAAGCTAAAAAAAAACCCCAACCAATTAGACTGATTTGCTCAGTAGCTAAACTGAATCACAGGTGAACTGTCTTCTGATTTCATTATACTGTATTTTGGTTCACTGAGCTGTTTTTGTTTGTTTCCTGTCAGATAAAGAAACTAGGCCCTGAAATTTAAAGAAGATGAGAGATGCTGATACATTAATAATTTCCCAATCATTGATCACCATGAATTTTCAAAATATCCAACTATCTTTATTTCTAAGGACACCTTTCAACACAGAAATGGTCATTAGACCAACAGTAATGACATCTACAGTTCACCACATAGCTTGGCCCCAACTAAGAGCCAAATGCTAAGTTGGAGCTTGAACAGCAAGCTCAAGAGATCCAAGTCAAATCTCTACCCACTCCTGCCAGCATCACTTTGACAAATCCACCCTGAATCCTCCCAATAGGATGGGTCACGTAGGCCACAATACCTTCTAACAGTCCAGTCATATCCCTCTGTTGGACTCTCACTGTTAAATCAAATCACATGAATCATGATGAAGTGAAGGAGAGACTAATCACTTTTAACCTTTGAGTTGTTTTGCATATTGCAAATTCATTGGCCAACGCAGCATGGAGAAAGCACAGACACGTGAAGCACCCTCAGCAATGCTGGGTTCCCTCGTTTTGCCCAAACCACTGAAGTTCTGTCCCATTAATGCGCAAAACACTTGCTGAAATTTCGGAATTCGGCAGATGTTGTTTTCAGGGCTTATTCTGTTGCAGCCAGCCAGGCAGAAGCATGTGACTGAAATCCTCATTTCTCTTGGCTGCAGAGCTTAATCCGAGCTATACTGTTCCTGTTTTGTACAGCAGGACAGCACAGGATTATGTAAAGTGACAAAATAGAAGAGGCTGCTTTTGCATATGCACAGAGTATACTTCACAGCTATCTTTGGTAAAGCAGTAAGAGGCAGGGCTGCTAACACAGAGAACTGGATTGAACTAGGTACCTCTCACTTATGAGAGTGTGACTTACTTCTCCCTATTCACTCTTTCTGTACAATTCAAAATGATATACATCTCTTTTGCATACCACCAACTATTGTACTGAATGCAAAAAAGTACCCGCTGCTTAATTTTCTCTCTCTAGTGTGGAAGACAATTCATTTCCCTAAGTGAAATATTGGCTTTCGGGGAGGTCCAGAGTCTCTTACAAGCCTGGGCTTGCTGTACATGTTACATAAGCCGCACCACCCTGGTTTCCATGGAAACCACCTTTAAGAGGTAGCCAGCTGCTGGCAACCTCAGAACATGGTACAGACATTTGTCACAGCTTACTCTTGTGGGATCCCTTGTACCTTTCAGCTAGCATGAATAGTGTGGAGAGGAGATGGACACATGGGGGGTGCAGAAAGAGGGAGACCACGATTTCCCTGTCCCCCCTGCTTGTCTGCTTGCTTCCTCTCTCTCTCCCTCCCCATGCAGTGAAGAGACATGGACACAGGATGTCACTGTATCACAACTGCAGCATAAAGGATTATGGGGAATGGCAGAGGACTATGGGAGAGAGGTGAAAGGCCATTGAATCCCCCAGAAACAGGAGCCCAAACTCTTGCTGCGGGTTAGGTATCCGGGCAGATGCCATGGTCTGGGCTGAATGCTGCCGAGTGGAGCAGCCTGCCTGGTATGCTCAACTCTTTCATCTGTCCTAGAGAGATAGATGACACCCTCGCTTGCGCTCCCCCTCTTCAAACTCCAGCTCCATAGGGTGTGTGTGGCACAGGAGAAGAGGCGGAGCGTCACGCTTAGACCCGGTAATGCCTGGCAGACACCCCGGCTGCACTCTGGACAGTTTCACCAGACAGCAGCAGAAGCAAGCAAGCGAGCAAGAGAGAGAGAGAGACTGGGCACTCCAGAGATCCTTCAGCACAGCAGGAAGTAAGTACCAGGTGAAGTCCGCGGTGCCAGGGTGGGGAACTAGGTCCTGGTGTCAGCTCTGTTACCTGGGCTGCAGACAGCAGAGTCCTGATGGAACAATCTGACAGGTGGCTTCCATTCAAATAACTATGGGTCTGCCTGCTACCCCAGTGCATTCGGACAGTTTGCAAAGGTGTTCTCAGGTACGGAATGCAAGAGAACAGCCCAACTGTGTAAGCCAAAGCCAGAATAAAGGGCAAGAAATAATTATCTACACTGACTAATCAGTACAGAGTGTTCATTCTAAAAAGTGTCCCTGGTTTTTGTCTGGGCGATTGATGTGTGAGGAATTGCAGTGCAGTGCAGCAGAAATGTGCAGGAAGAGGCAGGTGTTAAGGACTAGTGCAATGTGGAATTCTAGCAAAGTGTCCATCGTTTGCCTGCTACTGTTCTATACTTCTTTCCCACCTCTTTCCAGTTATGTCTTGTCCTGTGTATGTTCATGTTGCCACCTCATAAGTGGCTGTCAGTAGCAGGGGTGATGAAATGCGCAGAACATTGATGTCACATTGCACATTATGTTACAGTACATGTCCCCGGGAAGGGAGAAGAACAAATACAAGGGGCAGCTCAGTGTCCCTTGTGTCTAGTTCCATACTACATTTACTGGCTAAAGTTTCCAATATTTGAGCAAAAACCTCTATAAATCCTAGAGAGGTTTTCTCCCTCATCCAATACTCACAATTAAGGTTTCTTTGCAGTTATCTGATCCATGATGCCCAGTAAGAATACGGTAATATACAGGTGTATGTACCAACAGGAGTGAATGCATTCCCCAGCCCCGGCGCCCTGTGGTCCCTCTCAATCTTTGTTTTTCAAAGGAAACACATACTTGCCTTCATATCCAGCAGTGATCAGTGGCAGATTTTGGGTTCTCACATTTCAGCGGCGCCCCGTGCGACGCTAAAGTTCAGTCCCCCCACCTCGCACGCCCCATTCTACATCATTATTGCAGCGCCCCCTGTTGCACGGTGCCCAGAGCGACCAAACCAGTCATGCTACCCTAAAACAGCCTCTGCAGGGATCACTTATTTATCCCTGTTTCAGGTAGACTGCATTCCATTTTATTAAAAGTGTCTTGGAAGCTTCCTATTCAAATTTTCCAGCACCTAAAAAACCAGCTTCTAAAAAGTAAAAAAAAAAAAGGGGGGGCCCTAGGGGAGTGTGTGTGGCTTTGTGATGTACAAGGGCCAGTCAATTAGCATGGAACACATCTGGTTTGCATTGGTAAACCAATATACAGTAGCAAATTTTCTCTTTAGCTCAGTCCTGTAGGGAAGATTGTGCATCCAGCCAAAACAGGGTCTGTGTTTGAACAGTGTTCTGACTGCTCTAATCAGGTAGGTCTGAGCACAGGCATGTATGAACACATGTGTCTTATATGCTGTCAGACCACTGGGCCTTTGTAGTCCAATATTATCTACTACAACTGGTAACATTTTATCAAGATCTCAGGCAAATATAATTCCTTGCCCTACTTCCCAAGCTTTAACTGGAGATCCTGCACAGTGCACTGCAGGACAAAAAAACCACTTTCACTGAGCTCAGGCCCTCCAAAATAACAGAGGCAATTCCGAACTACTGCTATGCTTATGGTGATGCCTTTTCCCTGCTTGAACCCACAGCAGCTCCTTGTCCACAGTAAGCAGATGGCCAGAGTCCTTCATTGTGAGGGGAAAGTACCAGGCTGCTGTCTACAACACACTCCTGCTGCTACAGCTTGCAGCAGTGTAGAAAACTGATAGCTCCTATCCTGTGCATCAGTAAAAAGCACAAAAAATGTTATCAGACATGATGGTTGTATGAACTGGCCTGCACACAGTTTCAACTGCTATGGGGAGAATGTGTGCTTAAAACATAGCTGTCAACTTTTCCCTTTTCTTGCGAGGAATCCTATTTGGAATAAGGGAATTTCCCTTTAAAAAAGGGAAACATTGACAGCTTCTGTGATTGTTCTCTGTGTTTAACTGAATCACTAAACAAGGTCTCTGCACATTCCAACATTGTTTTTTTTATAAACAACACACAATTAAATTCCGCACAAAAAACGAATTAGTCAACTTCTATATAAAATAAAGCAAATGTCTGCACATCTATTCTTATTTCGCATTAACTTCCTCACCAACATGGTGAAAGGGGGAAGCTATGCAAGGCGCTGAATCTCTGAAACCCTGGGATTCCTGCTCTGCCCTTACCCTTGTTTCTGAAATTTCACCAGCTATCTGCAAGCCTACCCAGAACATTAAGGACTAGACACCTACTAGTTCTTACAGGTGGCAGCAGTGGGGCAGAGGACAAGGTGATGGTGGTGGGTGCATGCCATTTTCTGTTTTGCCTCAAATGGCAAAATGCTCTTCGCTCATTGGCAACTTCACAAGCCCTGGCCTAAACTTGCACAGATAAACAGAATACCTTTGCCCTTTAGAAATTACAACAGGAAAGAGGGATACCTATTTACTTGTAATTTTCTTCCTTTGGGCATAAGCAGTGCTTTAAATAAAGAATGTTGTGAGTGTTTCATAAGCAGTTTTGAGCTTGTAAAGGAGTTGTTTTCTAAAACCGATTGTTCTCACCTAGCAAGCTTAGCTCCTCCTGAATAGTTGTTCCTTAACTGCTAGTATTTTGTTAGAATCAAGGAGGAACTAATGAGAATGAAGGCAAGGCAGGGTAGCCAATTTGCATTGCAAAAAAGAAAGGAAATCACCAAAAAAGAATTGCATACATTAATTTATATGTATTGATGCAAATTTAGAAAATGTTTCCTATAATTTACACAAAATATATCTCCCTGTATGGAGTGAGGCTGTGGACAGGCGGCCTATGCACTTGCTCAGTCTGCTCCCAGGCATTCCTAACTGTTGATGGGCAGCTTCAAGGCACTTGGTTTTCCTTCTTACATTTCTTCATCTTTAAACCAAATGGCCATTCAAACTGAAGAAACACACCTTCATATGGAGAGCTGTCCTTCCAAGAAAGAATTGACCTCTGTAGAGTAGATCATATGGCCATCTAAAGGCAAGGTTTGGAGGTCAAATTTCAAAGCAGGAGGGGAAGCAAAAAGCACAAACGTGAGAGGAGTTGTCTCCTTCAAAAATGGAAGAATGGCCTTATCTTCTGAATCTCTCTGACCTTTCATAGGGTCAGAGACAGACTCTGTTCACTTGCGTGAGTAGAAAATTCACCACAGAACTCACATGCCCTTTAAACAAGGAAGCAGAATTTCACAGAAATTGTGGCAAAGCATCAAACAGACCAGTTGGGTCTACCTTTATCAGTAGTGGGGTAGCAGCAAGGTTTGTCCGTGGGTAGAGCGAATGAAGGAGAGGTAGAGGGCACTTAATGAAAAGTTTTCCTCTTTTTTGACTAGTGAAAAATGGTCTCTTTTGCCCTGTGCAAACGAATGGTACCTGAGTGAAACAGGCCTCAGATTTGCTTGGTTACCAGGGCAACCGCCTCCCCTTCAGCCCTGCTTTGCGTGCAAGGATTGTCCTGAGAGGCAGATTGGGTTCCTTGTGAGTGTCCAAGCCCACATGATCGATCACAGCCAAGTGGCATGCAGCAGCAGCCGCGAATGGGCGGGCCAAATATTTGTTGCTTTGCCTGTAACTGGAGAGTATTCTGTGAAGTCTTGGTTGGTGTCTCTGCCACTCATTTGGAAGAGATACAGCTGCGATGGGAGATGAGACTTCCTTCACTTCACACTGAAGCTTAAAGGAGAGGAGATTTATAGTTAGTAGCAATAAAAACACACTGTGCTTTTATTTACTATTGTAAATAATAATAATAATCCAATGCTGAGCAAGTGGGGTGTGCGAGGGCTGCAGGGGAGAGGAGGGGGAAGTGCTGTTGCACAGCCCTGTGTTTTTACTTTGGGCTTAAAATCATTTGAGGTGGGAAAGCCCACAAACGATGAGTATTTGTACGACGTTTTTATTTTATTTTTCACACAGTGATGTATTTGTGTGAAATTGCCCCTATGCGTGAGAGAAACCAGAAGGTTATCGCATCAGAGGGGTCATAAAATGGATGTGATACCTTTTAATTTGCTAGGGCTAATAAAAGCAAGACGCCCTACGAGCATGTACAAAATGCCTACTGCTCCCACCACTGAATAACCAACACCAGACCCTATACCACTGATCTAGCTCATCCAGACTTCCAGGCACCCTTGAGCCTCGAGCTTCTTTATTTATTTATTTATTTAAGCATCTTTCTCTCTGCCTTTCACATTTGCCTCTGTTTACTGGGCTTATCTCTAGGAGCAGGCTAGGCAGGAAAGGGGAAAGGGAGAGGGTGGTTGGACCTTGCCATGCCCTTTCCCTCTGCCTCTAGAAACTTGGAAACGGATCTCCAGTGGCTTTAAGAGCGTGTCAATCCCATTTAGGCCCAAATCCCCATGAACTTTCCTAGCCTGTAAGAGAGGACGCTTGGCATGGAATCAGAAGGCAGGCACTCTGGCAGCAGCTAAGCAAAGGGGGTTGCAGGCGACTGTGTCCATCTTCCGTGGGGCACCAGAAATGTAATTTAGAACATGACATAGAGCCAGTCTGCTCACCCGCTAGAACTGGACCGCAAAAAGAGTGTGTAGAAAGAAGTCACCATCAAAGAGATTTTCCATTCTGCCTTCCAGAGTTCTGCACAGTTCTGCAACCGGGACAATGTTTTATAAGTGGAATTAGTTAGGGAGATTGATACACTTCAGCTAACGCCTTGCTAAATTTGGAATATGTGTGTATGGAGTGGGAGAGGGGGAAGGGACTAGAATCAAAAATTGTGGCTCAAAGAATCCCAGGGATACTACAGAGACAGTGCATCCAATCTGCTGTAGATGCAACTGTTTCAGCATGTGTGGCCTGGTCCACTCATCATATACACTATGTAGATGGAAACACCAAGCTGTTACAATACATCTACATGCAAGACTTCCCACAGTTGACATGTAAGGATTAAGAGGGCAAAGGATATATGCCCTTTCTAGGTTTAGAGTTGCATCTACGCATATGCAGAGTACCATAGATGCTGCATTGGCTCGGCTGAGGCAGGGAGGTCTAATACCTCTCTCTTTTTTTGGCAGCCCCAGGTGGGGAGGAGCAGTGGATGTATGGGGCAAGGTAGACCTTGGTTGTGTGGAAAAATCTGCCTGGTGAGGAAGAGCAAACTCGGGCTCCTGTTGTGCATCTATCTATCTGCCAGAGAGTCGCCCTGAGTTTCTGTATTAAATTTATTTGATAATTATATTAAATCTATTAATTGTGTGCTTAATATATATATATTATTTATATAAACATATTATCTGTGTATATTAAATACAGTGGTACCTCGGGTTACATACGCTTCAGGTTACATACGCTTCAGGTTACAGACTCCGCTAACCCAGAAATAGTACCTCGGGTTAAGAACTTTGCTTCAGGATGAGAACAGAAATCGTGCTCCAGTGGCGTGGCAGCAGCAGGAGGCCCCATTAGCTAAAGTGGTGCTTCAGGTTAATGACAGTTTCAGGTTAAGAATGGACCTCCGGAAAGAATTAAGTACGTAACCAGAGGTACCACTGTAATATAAACTATATTGCAAACACTTTAATTAACAATATAGAAATTTAATTCAGTGTGTGGCCTGCAGGATCTGTGCTGAAGTGCTCTTGCAGACCACTTCGTCTGAGAGGCTGGACTGCCCTGAGCTAAGAGCAGCCGAAGGCCGCAAGGCTCTTAGTCTGAGTACAGAAGGCTAGCTTGTTTAGATGTACTCTGTGTGGCAATTCACAGAAACTAGAATCCATATCCAAACACTGCACTGTGGAAAACAATGGCAGCTGCTTCTTATGGGATGATCACATGCATTCCTATTTAGTGGATGAGCATGACAACACACACATATGGTTTTATTTATCTGTGTGAAAACTATAAATCCTCTCTCTCTCTCTCTCTCTCTCTCTCACACACACACACACACACACACACACACCAACAACAACAACAACACAGAATGAATTATATTAGGAGGTGTTTATAAGTAGCTTGGATTGACATTATTTCCCCTGGTTTTATATGCTCCTGTTCTAGTCAGGAGGACTTTAAAAGTCTGGCTGTTTGGCAAGCCTAAAATTGCTTCCTGCTGTCCTAAATGAGCAAAGGCATGGAGCTAGAGGCACCTTTTAAGCTACGCATAAAGAGGAACGCATTGCAACTTAATCCACATTTACTATTTTCCCTCAAAACTGCTGAAATTGGATTGAGTGGTTGCGCTGTGCATTCAAACAGATTGTGTGATATGTTGCTGGTCTCATAACTGCATAACTACTTCAGCATCATAATAATAACTCAGTCCAAATCTACTCAGCTCACATGCCTGCCTCATCAATATGGATGTGTGAATGAATTAATCCATCAAAATGTTTTGATTGATGAAAAGGTGTCCTGAATTACTCAGGCAGTGGGTTTTGCAAACTTTTCTTTTTTTAAAAAATGTAAGTACTTAAGTGCAGATGATGTCTTGAAAGAGGTGGCTCCTCCTGTGTGAAAGAGAAGAGGAAGAATGCCTTTTCAAGATGATGTTTTCTGAATGAATTGTAAGATTGACACCACCTTCAACTGAAAGGACTTCTTTCTACTTTTCCTTCTGAGAGGTAATTCCTTTTGAAAGAATTCAGCCCAGAAATATCATCTAAGTGGAGAGCTAACGCATGCTTTAAAAAACCCCAACTGGACCCTGGGGACGTGGGATGGAACTGGGAATTCACAATGTGCAACATTCAGATGTGGATGTTGGGGGACAGGGGCAGGGAACTCAAATTTAGAATGAAATTACACAGTATGTAGGTTTCTGCTCCGTGGTTGCCCCAAGGCCATCTGGACCAATTCATACTTTTCATGGTGTATAAAGAGTGCCAGGCATGTGTGTTCTTCTGTTTCAAGGTCACTGAGAGGTTTCCAAGGTATCTGAACACCCTGGGGAGCTGCGGGGAAGCAAAAAAAGGCAAAGGCTCATCCTAGAGACCTTTTGTACCTATAGGATGGCACTGTTTATTGCCTTGGCCCAAGAGACACCAAATAGTGAGGAGAATGCGTCATCACCATATGTTGGGGGAAAAGAGGGGAGGTAAATGACTTCCTTCCCTGTTCTGCAAATGGGACTTGAGATTGGTGGGTGGTGAGGGCACATCTGCATGGTAGGGAACCATTGCCAAGCTTCTTGCAATCTGAAACGAACTCCTGGGACATTAAGTGCAGGAGAAACTAGTCCTTGGAAAAACGAGGAATTTTTGAGAACCCAGCAAAAAGTAAAAAAATGTTTGGGCAATATGAGTGACCATACCTCCATAGGAGTGCCATTAGATGCTCTCTCCCTCCCCACCAGGAAAGAAGGAGTGCGTGAAGATCTGCAACAGGAACAAGTGGGGAATAAAGATCTACATCAGGATCTGCTGCTCCTGTGGATCCTGCTGCCTGAGGTGGTCACCTCACTTTGCCTCATGGGTGGGCTGGCCCTGCTGCTTGGACCATCTGAAGAGATATTTTGAGTAACAAAAACAACAACATTTTTTTTATTTGTACCTCGCTCTTCTGACTGGGGTGCCATAAAAAAACAAATCACCTTGGTTAGGACTAATTTTGTTTGCTACATTTGGATTTCTTGCGCTGTTTGGTTGTTTTCAATTACTTTTGACTTAGGAGAATTGAAATGTATATTTGTATATATGTAGAAAACTGGCTTTCTGCTGTCCTCCTCTGCCCAATGTAATTCATTTCAAGCTGTGCTTAGCAATTTCTTCCTGTGTTTCTTGCAGCTTGGTCATGGACCTGTCCTCAGGCATGGAGGCCCAGGCTCTCCTAGAAGACATGTTGGAAATCACGGCCCAGAGTTTGGTGCACATGGAGGTGTCTGAGCACTACCACATCATCAAGGAGTTGGGCAAGGGGAAATATGGGCAGGTGGTGCTGGTGACTCACAGGAAGAGAGGTAAGGGTGGATTGCCTTGTGTGCTCTGGCAAATCCACTCACCAACAGGCTGTTTACGTTGAAAGGGCAACTAGGGATGAGAATACTTCAGTGGCCAGGTGTGCCACTGTTGCTGTTGGAGAAGGTTGGACCACTTGCCATAACCAATGGCTGTGGTAACAATTTAAAATTACTATGTGTGATCTGTGGTCAGCCAATCATACACAGCAGTGGTCATGGACAGAACTGGGCATTTTTTTAAAAAAAAACAACCCCACTCTATTCAGTCACTTGTTTCATTCATTCATTAAACTTATGAATCACTTGTCACCTGAAGGTCCCCAGGTGGGTGACAAGACCTCTACTGTGGGCATTTGGTGCGAAACAACTTATCATTACCTGTGGAGGCATTCACCTTTCATCTCATGACCATAGAAAGAGTGCCCAAACAATTTCAAACAAACTCCACATATCAAGCAACATTCTTGACCCAGCTCTTAGTGGTTTCACTGAAGCCCATTTTAATGAAAATATCATTGTGAATGTAGTCCTTACAACTTGTCTTGTGCCTAAAAGATTTATGGGCCCCCAAAAGCATGAATAGGACTGATTCTCCCCAATTCTGAAATTCAGAATTAACAGCATAATCCTACCCGCGTCTATTCATAAGAAAGTTATATTAAATCAAATGGGACTTACTCCCAGGTCAATGGGGGTAAGAACTCCCTTCAGTGCAGGAATTTTATCTAAAGCATCCATGACAGATGGCCATCCAACCTCTGCTTAGTAACCGCCAATGAAGGAGAGTCCATTACCTTCCGAGGCAGTCTATTCCACTGTCCAGCAGCGCTTACTGTCAGAAAGTTTTCCCTGATGTTCTCCAAGAATTCTCAGAGATTATAGACAGAGGCTCTGAGATTACACCCGCAAGCTCTTTTAGTATGATTGGGTGCAGCTCATCAGGCTCTAGATAGATAGGATGAGCTGCTTTCTAAATCCAAGTCTTGTTCAAGTGTTTGAAAGGGAACACCCTCATCTCCTCACTGCCCCCTCATTTTTGTTGCTACTGCAATTCCCCCTCTTCTAATCCATGTTTAGCTGTAATGGTTGAACTCGTATCTTAATTATCTCACATGTATGAGTGTTGTATGTTAAAGAGACTTCACCTTACTTGATTTGATTGTTAGATGTAATCCCTCTCCCCCCACTATCCAACTTTATATTTTTTAAAAAATGCAACTGGAGTAACACTACGTTTCAGTTGTCTGTTGTGGAAATACATTTACTGTTATTAGAGTAGTATTATCTCAATGTCTCATTCACTTTTGCATCTCTCAACCTCCCTCAGGGACCCCTATGGCTCTCAAGTTGCTGCCAAAGGCGAGCACTAAACTGGAGAATTTCTTGTATGAATACTGTGTGGCCCTCTCACTCTCCACACACCCTGCCATCGTTGGAATGTTTGGCATCGCCATAGAGTCCAGCCAGCACTATGGTTTTCTCTATGAGGCAGCCCTGCACAAGGACCTCATCTCCATTATCAAGCCCAAGGTAAGGTGTATACGCGCACATGCAATGCAAAGCTTAGCTCCCAGCACCCCATGCCTGGGTCTCCTTGGGGAGGAAGGGCAGGATACAAAAACCTTGGATCCGAATGCCTTGGCACTCAGATGTATTGGCTCCCGAACATCGCAAACCCAGAAGTGAGTGTTCTGGTTTGCAAATATTCTTTGGAACCCGAACGTCTGACGGGGCTTCCGCGGCTTCCAATTGGCTGCAGGAGCTTCTGAATGTTTTGGAAGTTGAGTAGACTTCTGGAACAGATTCTGTTCGACTTCCAGTGTATGACTGTAAAATGAAAGAATTAATAATTGGCTTCAGCTAGGAATTCTACCAACACATACGTGCTTTTATTTCTGAAATCGTGAAATGGCTGTTAATTAAACAAATTACAGCAGGATTCTAAAACAAAAAAATCCATAGATTAAACAAAAGCAGTGGAGCAAAGCCTTTTGAAGCTTGCAGCTGAATGTGTCTTGAGATATTTTAACATGGGTTGGTGTGGTCATGGTGGCATCACAGAGAGAAAGGAAATGTGATGTTTATTTTTAAATGCCTGTTGAGATTTTGTTGCTTTACTCAAGAGCAGAAAAGGGCTTGTGTTTCAGTGGCAGAGCCTAAACGCTTATGAGGAAGTGAGGAGACCCGACATGATAAAAACATGTGCCTTTCTTTTCTCTGACCAGGCTGGCATCCCTGAGCCAGCAGCCAAGCTCTGTGCCAAACAGCTGGTGAGTGCACTGGACTTCATCCACAGCCGGGGCCTTGTCTATCGAGATGTCAAGCCTGAGAACATCCTGCTTTTCGATCGTCATTGCCGTTGCATCAAACTGACAGATTTCGGCCTGACGCGGCCCCAGGGCACCCTCCTGCGCCTGGTGGTTGGGATCATCCCTTACACTGCACCCGAGCTGAGCCGTGGCACTGGTGACTCCCCAGGCCTGCCCATCGACGCCAGCCTGGATGCCTGGGCCCTTGGGGTGCTGATCTTCTGCCTGCTCACCGGCTACTTCCCTTGGGAGAAGACGTTGCCTGAGGATTCCTTCTTTGATGACTTTGTGATATGGCAACAGTCCGGCCTAGACGAAGACTTGCCATATCACTGGCGCCCTCTGTCGCCAGATGCCGTCGCCATGTTGCGGAGCCTCCTGGCTCTGGAGCCCACAAAGCGCGGTCCCATCCGGCAGGTACTCAGCTACCTTGACCGGCCATGGCGAGCAGAAGTGGCGGCCAAGGACCCCTAGCAGAGCAGGAATCCGTTTTATGAGGCTGGGGAGAGAAAAGCACTAAGCAACTCATCCGAATACAAAGATACTTGCAGGAATTCAAACGTTACGTGCTCTCGGCTGGGTTATTTCACAACATTCCCCAAGGAACGTAACACTGGACATTCAGATTTCAGGAGGAGACAAAATGTGTATTCTGTATGCCGTGTGTCTGATCTTCTGGCACTCTTTAGTGGCTAAGCATCCTTGTGCTAAGAACAGATTCATCTTATATCCCCAAAGGTAAACTCATTTTTCCACAGGCTGCAGAAGCTGATATTGCCCACCTTCTGCCCATCTTCGTCACATCATTTGGGAAAGGCTTAGCATTCCTCGGATGCGAGGAGTGTTAAAGGCTTTTAAGGACATTAACAGTTTCAAACTTTCATAGTGCAACCATACATGTACCTTTATCATGTATACATAGTATCTTTAATTTCATTATCTGTATACTTTTGATGCACTGAATTGAGAGTCACTTTTCTCTGAGGGCTCATTCACACTTCTACTTATCCTGCGCATTGGAAAGCATGGGTCCTAGCGGCTTCCCGCTTGTCCCATGTTTTCTAGGCACAGCTCTGAGTGGTTTTGTACCACTGCTTTCCTGAGGAAAAGCTGCTCTTTAGCACTGAATTGGAGCAAACGTCAATCCAGAGAAAACCCGATTGATGTTTGGTCCGATTCAGCAGTAAACAGTGGGTTTTCCCCAGGGAACATGGCAGGGAAGCGGAAATGTGGATGAGCCCTGAGTGTACAGTGGCAAAAGTTATAGGCTGCCAGCCAGGTTCACATTTCACCTGAGTCCACTAGGTGTCCTTAAGAAAGCTTTTAGTGTCTACAATATAGGAATCTAATACAGTACAGTACTAGTCTATCTTTGATGGGCTGCTGTAGGGATTGTTGAAATACTGGGTTGGATCCAGACTAACTTAGTTGCACTCAGGCCCCATTGAAATCAATGTGAAAAAATAAGTCATGGTTTCACTTAAGTCTTGCTGATTTCAGTGATATGCATAACTTCTTTTAAAGAAAGAAGGAAAAGGCCTAAGAGCAAAACTCAGTTGAACGCACTTTTCTCAAGATACTGGTTCTACTGTTCCTCTCCCTACTTCTTTTAAAGATTCCTTACAACTTAGTGTTACAAAATGTTTTTTCCAGTAAATAGTCATAGTAAGCTATGCGGCCTGCATTTAAGGCAGTGGTGTCCTGTCTTGATTTGTGCTCTATATTTCACACTGCAGTTAGTACCTCATAAAAGAGGTACTAATTTTACCACAATGTCCCTTACTGCTGCGAATGACCTTTGGGGAAATGTTTCGCAACTCTCTTCCTCTTTCCGTTTATCACAGATAGCATTTTTAAAGTTTGAAAGCAGAAGGCATCCACAAATCGACCAGTTGCTCAGGTACCTCATTTCCATTGCATCCACCACCGTCCACTGCCTGCCAACCTTATCCAACATTAAGTAGACATCTTCCCTGACTATTTTAGAATCCCAGATATATGTGTTCCCCACTTTGTATAAAGAGATCTGGATCACCTACTGCAGTTAGTGATGTGGATTCCATTTGTGTGCACTTTTCTATTTCCTTTTTCTTTTTAAAAAGATATATAAAATACCCAGCAGCTCATTTGCAAGGAAGAAAGACACAATTACACAACATATAGAGAAAGAAAGAGATGTTGTAAAATTTTAAAATAGACTATTGGGGTGGAATCAAAAGGTGATGAGCAGTGCTTTTTTTCTATTAAAAAAAAATACTCACCATGAAGTTGTTACAGTAAGTACCACACTTTTTAACAACAACAAAAGAGATGTTGGTACTGTACCCTTGAGTGGGAAATAAAAGCACTGGTGATGATGCCAATTATGTTCCAGCATTCAGCTATTTTCTCATCAATAATGCACATAGAATGCATTCCTAGAAATATCAGCCAATTTCTTTGTCCCATCAATTTCTGTGCTGTGATAAAGTTCTGTTGTTCTAACGGAATAATTGCCATATTGTAAATCTTCACTCACTACTATCCCCCCCGCCCCCACGGGTACATTTAAAATATTTTGTGCGCTCCTCAAATTATCTAATTTCTAGAGGGCAGATATATTTGTAAACACATTTATGGTGCAAACAGAAACAATAACCAAATGTATTTATTAAGACCAACTAAAAACCCGAAATAAAAAGAGTCTTGCAGGATCAGACCAAACACCTTTCTAGCCCAGCATCCCATTTCTCACAGTGGGCAACTGGATGCCAATGGTGATGGTCCTTTACATTAGCAAAGCTGGGGATTAATTTTAGATGGGTGCTGGGAATTTAAGTGCCCATCTAAAATGCATATCCATTGTATTTATTTATACCTTATAAGGGACTCTGCTAGAAACACTGCTAGAAACAGATTAGAATAATTGTTGGCTTTTATTAAAGTGTTTTAAGACCTCTTTCACCCCAGTATGCCCTTCTGCATCTGAGATCTTACTACTTCAGGCCCGCAAGGCTCATAGTCTGAGTACAGAAGGCTAGCTAATTTAGATGTACTCTGTGTGGCAATTCACAGAAACTAGAATCCATATCAGGCACCGTCTAACATAATCAAATCTGTATGATGTATGTCCCCTGTATGCCCCCAACTACAACTACAGCATTGGGCTTTTCATATTGCCTAAATACATCTTCCCTCCTCTTGTTTTAAAGTATTTTGCTTAACATGTATGCACAAGAAGAATTATGATGAACACAAAAGTTTATACACTTCTTTGTGACTTCTTAGCTAGTCCTAATAAAAGTATGATGATACTGCTGCTGTTTGATTTTTTTCTAGTGGACAGACATGGCTGCCCACAAGTTAATTTGTTATATAGGTACTCCCGTCAGGGAGCCCTGATTGGTCAGGTAACCACAGGGAGTGTAAAGGCAGGTGGAAGTCCAGCTCACATCAAGTCTTCAGTATGAACATGCAGAAAGGCAAGTGATGGAACACAGAATCTGAGCCCCACCCACTTGTCAACTCAGCACTCAATGGGTACACACTCCTTGGCCAATGGTTGACCAGTTTTAATCCAAAAGGGCTGTCTTACTTACTCATTTGTGACATTTCCAACATGGAAGCAGGAACTTTGGGATGAGACTTTGAATGGCAGAAGCTCAAAGTATGAGCTACCTATAAATAGGTTGGCTCTATTGGGAGTCGGGCCAAAACCACTTTGAGCTGCATGTGACTCAGAATGTGGTTCACACTCAGCATCTCCCTTCCCTACCTGTCACCCGCCTCCACAAATAGTACCATGAGGGGAGCAGTAGGGTAAGAGTTGGAGGAGGTCACTTTAACACTGGAAGCATAACCTCCAACATTTCTCCAGTAAAAATAGGAGGAGGTCACTTCCAACTCTACAATTCCATGATTAATAACAGTAAAGTTATTATTTATACCCCACCCATCTGCCCCAGCCACTTCCGACATATATACAAACATAATAAAACATCAAACATTAAAAACTTCCCTATACAGGGCTGCCTTCAGATGTCTTCTAAAAGTTGTATAGTTACTTATCTCCTTGGCTTGAGGGTGTGTGTGGTTCACATAACTTTATAACCTTCAACATCTCTCCAGTGAAAATAGGAATGTCCTAAAGAAAAGTGGGACATTCTGGCATCAAACCAGAAACCGGGGCAGCTTCTGTAAATCCAGAACTGTCCCTGGAAAATAGGGGCACTTGGAGGGTCTGTGGAAATTCAAAAGAAGACTTCTTTTTCCCTTTGGGGAAGATGATGGATACTGAGTATTCAATTGGACTGTTTGAGCAAACTGAAAGCTTGAAAACCCCATCAAGGTTTATCAGGTACTTGACCTGAGGACTCAAAGGCAGAATTCAGGCATAGGTTGTGTACACATTATCATTTACCCTGGTTGTAGTGCACTCCCGCTGCTGGTGTTTGAAGCCGTTAGCCACAATCTACGTATATGCTGTAGTTTCTTTGATGTACTTTCCCTCAAAACAGCATCAATCCAAAAGCAAAATTTAAGCCACATTAGCTTTTTTTTAAAAAAACCCTCCCTTCCCCAAGTGACCAAAGTAACCTCTTGCTTCTATTAAAACCAACACTGACATGGTTTGAAATTAATGAGTTTAGGGCAATAGCAAGTTTGGCCCTCATCCAATTCCAAATAGGGCCAGCCTATTTGAAGAGGGGGGGCTATTCCTGGGCATTATTAGCCAAAGGTCAAATTCACACCATGCATTTAAAGCACTATGGCACCACTTTAAACAACCATGGCTTCCTCCGAAGAATTCTGGGAAGTGTAGTTTGTTAAGGGTAGTGAGGGAGACCTCTGTTCCACTCCCAGAGCTACAATCCCCAGTGTTCCCTGGGAAGAGGAAGTGCTTGTTAAAACATTCTGGGAATCTCTGGATGATTGATAGCTTCATGAACTGAAACAACATGATACATATATTCACAAGTTTTGGGAGTTGAGAACTGAAATTTTGTTTAAAAAATGATTTTGGGGGAGGGTGCTTAAAAACACAACTGAATAAAAAGGTGATAAACTCTAAGGTAATAATGGCAAACTCGACAACTTATAACACTCCCCTCTCACTACCTAAACACACTAAATTCATCAATATCCCAAAATGTAAGAAGATACTTTTTAAACAATAATCTTAAAAACCCCAACAATGTTGGATTATAAATGTGCAATTTTGCAATTGAGAATTTGAATTAGGGAAATCAGCACGTTCATTTCCTTCCTCTTCAACTTCAGTAGCATGTAGAAACTCCTTGCTTAGAATTATTCCTTTCTTAAAGGGAAAGTCGAGGTTAAGGCGTGTGCCTTCCTGCACAGGTGTTGCCCTGATCAGTAACACATCCATCAGCTCTGCCTTGCCTCTGTGTTCCTTGGGGACCGCTCAGCGCTGACAATTGGACTGCTGAAACCAACGCGGTAAGACCTGCTGAAATCCATTCACCAAAGAAGGGGAGCGGGAGGGGAAAATGTTGGTGGTTTGGCAGTGAATGTTAGGGGTCTAGAAATGGATCTTTCCACCCTTGTCAGCCTGTCATAGTAGCAGCTGCTGTGGCTGCAAAGCAGAGCAGAGAGGTGTTTGTAAATATACCGATCTGTTCGCAGCCTTGCCGCCTGCAGGGTGGGAGGCCACTGGCCTTGTGCCTGGATCCGTGAAAGGGCAACACTTCGGCTAATGCAGTGGGGCGGATTCAGTTATGTCCTGAAAGAGGCATCGAGTGGCTGTTATGGGGGAGGGAAGGGTCAGGAATCTGTGCCTCTTGAGGACAGAATAAAGAGATAACAAGGAGGGTGAAGCAGAAAGCAGGTGGGAACTCAAGCCTGGGTGAGAAGAGCTTTCTCTTTTTAATTTATTATTTCCATCTGTATGCCATTTTTCCAGCTCTGTCATTCTCAAAGCAGTGCACCCCGACATAAAAAAAAGAAGCAAATGATTCTGACTGCACAATCTCAGCATATTCCTTTAAGGGGAAGAAGTTAGAAACAGGAAGCAAGTACCCAAGGGAGGGTGAAGTTTCTTCATAGTTCCTTTTTTTCACTTCCTAGTTCCCTATTCCATTCTAGCCCCCATCTGCCTTTTTTAATGCTGCCTTTTTAACTGCATAGTGGTTTTGAAAGGACAAATAAGTGGGTATCCCAGAGTCCCCACATCTTGTAACTAGTAGTTGTAGCATCAAGGGTGATACTACATACCATCTGAAGGCAAGTCCTGCTTTGAGCATGCAAAACGAGGTGCCTGCTTTCTTCATTGGCCTGGTTCACACATAAAAACATGTGTTTATTAAACCATGGATAAGTGCCATGTATGAACCCATCTCAGCAGGTTAACAAAGGTTTCTGAAAGGTTGCTCATTAACCAAGCTTTTTAGTTGGTTTATAAACCTTACCTAGTGTTGTAGCTAAGGCTGTGTATTCATTAGTGGCTTGAAATGCAAGGTTGTCTGCTGTTTCAAGCCACTTATGGTTCATTATATGCACACTGTTGAACACACCAGAAATTGGGTGGGGATGTATTCACTGAAAGTGCTTTAACTGTTTGGTTTTGCTGTGTTTACAACCCCTGTGAACTCCAATGAAGTTGTTCATCTGCACATGTGCAATGGTTACCTCCAATGTAAACACCACAGCTTACGTTTTCAAATTGGGCAGAAGCTGCTTTGAGGGAATACAATACAACAAACAGCACAATTTCTCAAGAAACTACAGGATACACATGAATTGTGGCTAACGCAGCTTCAAACACCAGTGAAGTCTGAGTAAACTGTAATGTGACACAGCCTTAGTGTTACATGTGAGCCCAGATCTTCTTAACCAAGGTGAAGGAGCTGTCACTACCTTAAAATTCAAACCACTCTTTTTAGGTTGGCTAGTTTGTAAAAACTGTGAGGCCAAATCAGGAGAGATGGGTGAGGTGCTAAACAGGCTTTTGGAGACAGGGATGGGCTGGACGTGGAAGTGAAAATCAAATCCTGAAAGACAGAAGTGTTACATGTTCCAGGTTCATGAGACCAGGAGGTGTGAAGACAGCCTGTTCTGAGTGGGGTTGTGCGCTCCTGGAAGAAGCAGGTTCATAGTTTGGGAGTAGTCCTGGGACCAAGATTGTCGCTTGAGGCCCAGGTGGCCTTGGGGCCTATTTCCAGCTAGAGTTGGTTTGCCAACTATGCCATTTTTGGATGGACATTACTTGGTCACAGTACACCATGCTCTGATAAGACAAGATTACTGCAATGCACTCTAGGCGGAGCTCCCTTTGATGCTGCTGGTGTCTTCAGAGATGGTCTTTGTTTTGTAATGGATCCTATTTCTTCCCTTTCAAAGTGCATGTAACTGAAAGGCAGAACAGGCTATGGGCGTGCCTACGCTTATATGTAAACCAGACATAATTTATACCCTGGTTCCCTTCCACCAAGTAATCCTGGGAAATGTCATTTTGAAAGGAAGCAGCAACATCTGTGGTAAAACCCGAGCCCTTTACAGAACTACAATTCTGGAGTTCCCTGGGGAAAGCTACTGATGTTAATCTTTATAGCCCAATCCTATGCACAATTACTCAGAGGTGAGAGTCCCAGTATTTTCAATGGGGGCTATTCCTAATGTTGTAATGTGGGCCCTTCTCCCCATGGATGTAAAGGAGCCATTGTGTTTATGCTATTTTAGTATTAGGGAACTGTTGCATAGCTGTGTAGACTATGTGTCATCTATTTATCTGAAAAGGGGGCTGTGAGGAAAGGAAAGTGAAAAAGAGCAAAAGGAGCAAGAGCTCTGGTAACGGAGCCTAATCCAGCCCATGTACAAACAAAGCTCCTACAGATGTTTAGGGAAACTCTTAGTTCCTTGTCCCATCCCTTCACCCTGCCCTCAAAAACCTCTGCTATTTAACCCTCTCTAGACTGACAGAAGAGGGAACTATATCGTGTCTGTGTGGGACATGAGAGCCAGTGAGGTGTGGTGCTTAGAGTATCAGACTAGGACCTGGGAGACCAGGTTTCGATCCTCACTTGGCCACGAAGCTCACCGGGTGATGGTGGGCCTGTCACTCACTCTCAGTCAAACCTACCTCACAAGGAACATGTAAACCACCTTGAGCTATAGAGGAAAAAAGTAGGGTCACCATATTTCAAAAGGTGAAAAAAGAAGTTGTTGAGCTTTTTTTTTTTTTTGCCCCAAAGTTGTTGAGCTATTTTTGAGGAAAAATGACACTGCCAACATTGGTTGCTACACTGCTTTAGACAGCAATATTCTGGGTATGTAAGGGAAATTCTGGATGTATGGCAAT